ATATATCGTGTGTGTGTGTGTGTGTGTGTGTGTGTGTGAATCAGTGGAAAATGCTGCTATTTGATATTTGAGATATTTTTGTGTATGAATCAGAGAAGGAAGAGAACAAGCTTATGAGGAACAAAAGGGAAACAAGTGGAATTTTAGAAGAAAGGAGAACTACAGGGTACAGTAGTCAGGAACAAAACTACTGTAAGCTTTGAGAAAATGGTGTTTAAAACTTGGATGTTACTGTGTAGTTAAAGAGCAAAATGGGGAGGGCACCACTTATATTGTTGCTTACTATAACAACAAAAACAGATTTTGTTTCAGCATGGGTGATGTACAGAGACTGAGTTGGCTGCCATGGCTAGTTAGAGATGAGGGGGAAAACCCTTTATCAGGATATGATTAGTCTAGAGATGTTCTGAATCCAATATTAAGCACAAGTGCCAGGAGGTTTGTTCTGTTAAAAGGAGTTTTTCTGCCCCACTGTCACCAAATGCTTGCTCAAAGGGGATTTGTTGGGTTTTCTCAATAATAATAATAATAATACCTTACTTTGTAAAGTGTCCTGAGATGACTCTTGTTGTGATTTGGCACTGTGCAAATAAAACTGAATTGAATTGAATAAGTATCTCTGCTGATATGAGTCTATTTCACAGGATCAGTATCGGCCAGAATAAAGCCAATCCAGTTCAAATCCTTATTTAGTTCTACTGTCCTGTATTTGAGCAGTCAACGTTTTATGCTTTTGTCCAGTGGTGCTACGACAGCCGCCACCTTTTGTTAATGCAGAGTTATTAAATGGTCAAGCAGAGATATATTAAATTGGGCTGGTTACACAAACTGTGTGTTCACATATGGATACAAAGTAGTAGTTAGTATCTGCCCTGTGATGAATCTATAATTCTGAGAGTGTGTTGTCCAGTTCCCAGTTATATTTTTTTCATATCAATAATTTAAGATAATAAATGTATTGTTTTAAAACCCAGATAGCATGGTGATGAAGTGGTTAGCACTGCTGCCTCACAGCAAGAAGGTTCTGGGTTCGATCCGGGGCCAGTTTGGTGCCTTTCTGTGTGGAATTTGCATGTTCTCCCTGTGCCTGTGTGGGTTCTCTCCAGGTATTCCAACTTCCTCCCACAGTTCAAAGACATGCACCTTAGGTTGACTGGTGACTCTAAATTGCCGGTAGGAGTGAGTGTGTGTGGTTGTTTGTCTACATGTCAGAACTGTGATAGACTGGCGACGTGCTTGCTCAGGGTGAATTTGCTGTGTTTTCTCAATAACAATAATAATAAGGTCTAGACCGAACTTTGTAAAGTGTCCTGAGATGACTCTTGTTGTGATTTGGCACTGTGCAAATGAAACTGAATTGAATTGAATAAGTATCTCTGCTGATATGAGTCTATTTCACAGGATCAGTATCGGCCAGAATAAAGCCAATCCAGTTCAAATCCTTATTTAGTTCTACTGTCCTGTATTTGAGCAGTCAACGTTTTATGCTTTTGTCCAGTGGTGCTACGACAGCCGCCACCTTTTGTTAATGCAGAGTTATTAAATGGTCAAGCAGAGATATATTAAATTGGGCTGGTTACACAAACTGTGTGTTCACATATGGATACAAAGTAGTAGTTAGTATCTGCCCTGTGATGAATCTATAATTCTGAGAGTGTGTTGTCCAGTTCCCAGTTATATTTTTTTCATATCAATAATTTAAGATAATAAATGTATTGTTTTAAAACCCAGATAGCATGGTGATGAAGTGGTTAGCACTGCTGCCTCACAGCAAGAAGGTTCCGGGTTCGATCCGGGGCCAGTTTGGTGCCTTTCTGTGTGGAATTTGCATGTTCTCCCTGTGCCTGTGTGGGTTCTCTCCAGGTATTCCAACTTCCTCCCACAGTCCAAAGACATGCACCTTAGGTTGACTGGTGACTCTAAATTGCCGGTAGGAGTGAGTGTGTGTGGTTGTTTGTCTACATGTCAGAACTGTGATAGACTGGCGACCTGTCCAGGGTGGACCTTGTCTGTCACCCAATGCCAGCTAGGATTGGCTCCAGCCTCCCATGACCCTATTCAGGATAAGTGGTATAACTAATGGATGATATGTCAGATATTTAATGTAATGTAAATATATAGTAATTATTAGATCAGAATTGGCAGGTACCTACTATAAAAGGTATCAAAATGTATTGGGGCCAAAAAAACTGGATAGGGACATCCCTAGTAATTATTTATGTTTTTCTTTTGGTTTTCTTGTGCTGTACATGTTTCCCAAAGACATCATAACTGTGTCTTGTAATCCCATGTGAGATGAGACAAATGTTTGACATGACACAAAAGAAAAGTAATCAAATACTGTCTCCTTGAAAAATCTGTCAAATTGTTTGCCTACTACTGTTGTCCCCTCTATATGAGCCCTGTCAGGCAAAATTTCTTGTTGAATTCAGTGCTTGTCAGAAAGCAAAGCATATTTTGTTGAATGTTGATTTGTGTCGTGACTAGTTTTTTCATTAGTAAGTAAAGATTCCTCTCCATAAAAGGGTTCAAAGAGACAGAATATTTGGCATTTCCATGTTAGTAATTTCACACCAGTGGGTTTTAAAACTTTCAGATTGTCAAAAGAAATTTGACACACTGTAAATAAATGATCTGATATGTAAATATGATACCATCATCTGAAAGTCCCACTCAGTGATATGTTTCTGTGTACTTGCATGGAGCTTTCCGTTGAGAACACTGTGAGACTTGGCTCAGACATGTAGTCATTTTCTGATCAACAACTGCAGAATGGAAAACTATTATCAGTAAAAGAAGAAGCTGACTGCAGCCACACAGTATTCTGTTTTATTCCTATAGACAGCATTGGTTCAAGCCCTAATATGTATGACTGAATACTCTTATAGCATTGTTGCCTCAAATTTAGCCAAGTTTAAATTGCTGTATTTGTGACATGTTAACTTTTTCTTTCTTTATTATTTATTTAGAATTACATGTCCTTTTAAGAGTGTACACTCGTGCCACGTGTATGAGCCTGTGTGTAGAGCTATACATGAACACAGATGACTTGCACAGCAGATTAAACGTATGGAAGGCAGAAACAGGTGCAGTTATACTGACTTGTTTGTTGTTGAGATTAGAACATGTGGTTACCTTGTGGTAACCGAGATTCTGTTATATGAATGCTTTGCTAAATGTGAGCAGACAGAGCCTCTTCCTGTGTGTTCCACTTGAGGAGGAGCAAAGTCAAATCTGCTGATGTGTAAGTGCAGCAGAGAGATGGGTTAAGGAATTAACAATAGCACATCATTTCACTGAAGTACCTGAGATAGCGTCACGGGTACTTCTCTGGAAATGTGATTTCAGTATATAGTAGAAAGTAATAAATAAATTGCCTTAGCTTCTCCTATCCAGTGTAAAAATAAGCCCATAAACATGTAAAGGATTGTTGTCTTATAATATTTCAGTTAAGGGATCTGTTCCCACTCATAACCTGGGTAATATCTAGACCAGCAGGTTGCATATGTGCCGGCTTTATGATATTAAAGTGTAAAACTTCTGCTTTCCTATACAGTTATATGTCCCGGTGCCAAATCCACTCCAGGACTAAATATTATGTTAGTAGCAGACAAGCCAGATGTTGGCTACCTAAACAGAAAGCACAAATAAGCAGATGTTATTTTGTCACTCTCACATTAGGTGTGGTGCCAGCTGTGTACTGGGCCATGTCGGTGCCTGCCCACCGTGCTGCACTGCCCTGTCAGCGTTCCCCTGATGTCAGAGAGCTGTGGATGCTGCCAGCTGTGCACTCAGCAGGAGGGTGAGGCCTGCACCAACCAGCTGCCCTGTGACACACGCCGAGGGCTGCGGTGCGACTACAGCGCCAGCTTCCCTGGAGGGCCAGGACAGTGTGTCGGTGTGAACATAAACACTCAGAATGAAACACATTAGCTTGGTTTAAAGCTGCAAATGCCTGCACTGCTACTTTTAATTACAACTAACCCTGAACAAACTAGCACCTGTTTCTGCCTCTCATGTATTATTATTGCCCAAGTCACAGAGCCAATGATCCATCTGTCTGAAATATAAATACCCGAGCATCCTTCCACAAGCCTGTCTGAAATATAAATACCCGAGCATCTTTCCACAAGCCCAGGTATTTTTGACAGCCCTTTCCACTGTTCTGGAGGTATTTTGGATGAAATGTGTTTTGTTCAAATGGACGGAAAATTCTTTGGACTCAAAAACTCTTAACTTTCAGACTCTTTTGCACATCTGGGTAAAACAATTTTCTGTCCACTGGACAATAAAACAGATTCTTCATGTTTCCCAGGTTTTTAGTCTCTTTCCTCCAGCTGACATGTCATACATACATTCAGTTGCAAGTAATGGCACTGTTCGCAATTTCCTGATTTTCTGCATAAATTGTCACAAAAGGTCACAAATATCAACAAAAACAATATTTCTAAGATGTTAAAACACAAAGTCCAGATTGTTCATGTCTTTATTGGACACACCCATTAAACATACAAAGTGATGGTGGAAAAAGTAACTGCAACACCAGGCTTCTCATGTCACTAAACATCAACTGGAGTCAGGTGTTAGCAAACCTGGAGTTCAGTCAATGAAATGAGAATGGAGGTGTGGTTTAGAGCTACCTTGACTTATAAAAACACTCAGTGTCAGTGTGCTATTCACAAGCAGCATCAGCTGATGTGAGCCAGGCCTCGCAAAAAGATATCTCACAAGACATGAGTTAACCATAGGCAAAATATTGAACAGGCATGGTATCCATGGCAGGACACCACGGAGGAAGTCACTGCACTCCAAAAACAACAATACACCAGGCCTGAAGTTTGACAAAGACCACCTTGGCACGCCACAACACTACTGAGAAAATGTCCTGTGGACAGATGAAATGACGGTAGAATTGTCTGGGAAGAACACACAGCACAACGTAAAAAGAGAACTGTGTACCAACATGAAAATATCCCAACAGTGAAGTACACTGGAGGGAGCATGATGTGGGGCTGGTTTGCTGCCTCTGGACCTGGGCCACTTGCCATTATGGAGAGGAAAATGAATTCCCAGGTTTATCAAGGTGTCCTATAGGATAATGTCAGAGTGAGTGGCTGCAAGCTGAAGAACAAGCTGGGTGACGCAACAGGACAATGACCCTAAACATCGAAGTAAATCTACTACAGAATGGCTTTGGATACACAAAATCCACCTTTTGTCCCAGTCAGAGCTCAGACATCAACCCAATAGAGATACTGTGGAATGGCCTCAAGAGAGCCATGTCTTAAGAATTCCTCCTGAACATTGAACAGGTCTGATCCACAGCTACAAGAAGTGCATGTTTGAAGTTATTACTGCCAAAGGTGGTTCAACCGGTTATTAAAACACTGCTGCCACCATAGGTTTGTATGTTTAATGGCTGTGTTAAAAAAATACATGAAAGACCATGACTTTCTGTTTTTTATAATCTTAGGAATATTGTGTTTGTTGATATTTGTGACTTTGGTGAAGATGAGATAACACTCCATGACCAATTTATATAGAAAACCAAAAAATTGCAAGTGCCATTGTTTTTTCTTGCAACTGTAAAATGGTAATCAAAATAAACATATGTTCTTACCTAATTTGTGACGCAAAACATTATAAACATTTAGTTATATATGTAGGGTATGAACGAATAGAATCACAGAAAACTTTACAACCTTTTAATTTTGTTGCATGTGAAAGTTAAAACTCATTCTAAATTCATGCCTTCAAAGCACAAGTGTCTACATTTTGGAATAATTGTCAGGTATTTATCCTGCAGAAAAACTCATGCTTAGTTCTGTGGCTGGAATGTCAGGTGGGAGGTACTGTATGCTAGTATGCTCCCAATACTGCTACTGTTGCAACTACTATTACTGAATTACTGGTTGTAATCTAGCCACAGGGGTTTCAAGCCAGTGACTTCTGTGCTGTCCCAAGCCCGGATAAATAGCGAGGGTTGTGTCAGGAAGGGCATCAGACATAAAACGTGCCAAATTCAAACATGCCTATCATCAGTGTGAATTCCATACCGGATCGGTTGAGGCCCGAGTTAACAACAACCCCCACCAGTGCTGTTGACCTACAGGGTGCTGGCGGAAATTGGACTACTGTTGGTCGAAGAAGGAGAGGAGGTAGAAGGATTCGTAGACAGAGAGAAGAGGAAAGGCAGGAGTATTGGTCTGAGAATAGGGACTCTTAACGTTGGCACAATGACAGGGAAAGGTAGAGAGCTGGCGGACATGATGGAGAGAAGGAAGGTAGATATACTGTGTGTGCAGGAGACCAGGTGGAAGGGTGGCAAAGCGCGTAGCATTGGAGGGGGATACA